AATTTTAGCTTAAGTCCAGCTAAAGAAAAGTCATTTATAGCTTTAAATATTTATTAACCTTTTAATAAAACACAAACTATTTGTGTTAAATACCCGCAACAGGAATCAATAAAGAGGAAGCCTGGGTTTTCTTCTGTAGATTATTTAATGTCAATAATAGTTTTCTTCCCTTTCTAAGCTAACGATGAGAAGAATAGATTAAAAAACGTATTTGTGTTTCTTATGATGTTGTTCTGTTGTAAAAATTGAATTCAAATTTTATTTTAAAAATGTTATGCTTCTAAGACTGTTATAATTCAGAACCATTGGTTAGTTTTCTTTATTATTTTAAGCTGCTATTAAAGCCCATTGAAGAGGGTCCAAAGAGCCAATTGCATCTCCGAAGCCGCAGGTTGCAGACTGATGTCATAAAAATCGGTATCAATATCGGCTTTAACAAACCTTCCTCAGTAGACCTCTATTTTACATGAAAGTAATCATAAAAAAACACTTGTATTTGATATGATTATTTCTGACTTACATATTGGGAATGTTCCAAATTTTATTAAACAAATAGACAGTAAAAGGTCAAAAATCTTTCCCCATTTTTCTTTTTTTGGACTCTGTTCTCTGGATGATCTCCCAAATAGTTTGAGGTCAGAAATGTTTCAGCAGATCCTTGTTAAAGGAGCTGACTCCTGAATGCTCCCCTCTCTGCAAACACAGACTCGATTAGTGACCTGCTGTCAAAAAAAACAGTTTGACACGTGATGATGGGAAAAAAATCTGTCCTGTTTTACAGGTTTATCCATTGTGATCTCTGAGCTGATAGGTGTTTATTTTTGTTGCTGTGTGTAGTAATACAGGAAATGGTCAGGAGGAACAGGTGATGCTTTCATTGATAGAGTATTTTACAAGTTTATCTCAGCATTGATGATTTTTTGCTATATTTGCTGAAATTGTGTTTTGGCCTTCGAGGTTCTGTTCTTCAGTGGTTTTGGACGTACCTATCTGAAAGGAGGTTTTATCTAAACACAGCCCCACTTAGGCCCTGTATTCACTTGATCCAGCGCTCTGGTAGACCAAAAAAAGAAAAACTTTAAAATTAGGTACCAGAGTAGATAGATTTAAATGCCAGTGTGTTTCTCTGTCTGCATGTGAGCCGAACTGTTTTATAAGTTATGATGATGTAGGTCCGGCTGCACGCGCCTCTTTGTCAACCTGTTGATTTAATCTGATCGATTTGCAGCATCAGGAAGTGCTTTCAGCTGAGACAGCTGTCGCTCCGTAAGAGAGAAGAAGAGGGTAAGGAAGAGCAGGAGAGATTAATATGCATGCATCTTAAATTTAGATACACAGAACATTATAGCATAGTATTTATGCATGTAAAAACGATAAACGACACATTTACAGATTAACAATATGACATTTTTTTAAGGTTACAGTTAGGGATGCACGATATAATCGGCCCCCTATCGGTATCGGCCTGTATCGGCCTTAAAACTGAATATCGGACATCGGCCACCCCACCGATATTTAACCCGATATTTGATCAGCTTCTGATTTTCTAAAGTCTAAAAAAAAAAAAAAATACTACTTCTTCCTCTTCCTGAAAAAACTTCTTTTTTACAGACTTAAAAACTTCTAAAGACGAGGGAAAAATATTGATACATTAAAATATCACAATATCTTCATATGCTGATATATTGCCATTTAAAAACACCATATCAATCTCTTTAACTAATGAAATATTGCTATATGTCATCGTTATGCTACGAAATCCCCCGAAAATTCACGAAATCTTGCCATATTTTTATAATTTGATATATTGACGCGGTATCGGTCTATTTTACTAACAAAATCTCACAAGAATTTGCAAAATATCACGAGAGTTTTTAACAGAATGATGAAATTTCACGAGATTTTGAAAGTAAAATAGATCGATACCGCGTTTTTAAAAATCAATTTGATATCAGCATATGAAAATATATTTGAGTATATTATTTTTCAAAGTGTCAGAAATGAATAACAAAACTGCTATTTTCAATGACTACTTATTTTTGTCCAGCTTTAACATCGGTATCGGTTATCGGCTACATGAGTTTTAAAATATCGGCATATCGGATATCGGCCAAAATCCCAATATCGTGCATCCCTAGTTACAGTATTAGAGGCAGTTTTAGGTAATTGGTCAAAAACTGGAACCTTTACAGGCCAGTTTCTGGCCAATAATAGTTTGGTTTAAACTTTGATGGGAAGATGCATTTGGAGAGAGATTAATACAATGTCAGAGAATCATTCTGCCTAATTACTTTAGGCAAAAGTAATTTATACCTCACATCCAGTCAGGTGCTAAAGCTTAGTGACATGATGGCGAAGCACAAACCTACATTTATCTATTTGTCTGGACTGTGCCAGAAAAATAAATTACCTACAAAAAGACAATGGAGAAAAAAATCTTTCATTTTGTTAAAATATAGAAAATGTTTGGTTGTTTGTTTTTAGCACAAAAAAAAGCATATATACTACAGAAAAACTTAGTTTTTCTTTAGTCTGTAGAAATACAATTCTACAAATTTAGAGTTTGATTAAAAGCCACAAATTCAGAACAGTGTGCTAAAATTACATTTGTAATTTGATGTAATTCGAAGTAATTTCTTTTGCTTGCCTTTAATAGAAGTAGTTTTTTTTCACTCTCTCTGCCTGAACTTAAAGTGTAACTCACCCCATGTAAAAGTATAACCCCGCCTCTAAACGAATTTTGAAAAATGCCATCAAAGTGGTCCGTGCTAAGAAACCCAGAGAGGCAGGGCTACTTTTGGGATGAACAGTGCGGGTTTAGTGGGGGTGTGGTGAGGACAACAGATAGAGGTAGTTAGCTTAGCCTATCATAATCCAGCTCAGAAGTCAACATACACTAAGGTTATAATGCCTTTACGTGACTTGGAAAAGCCCAAATGATGATGATGATGAGGTTTTTCATGCTAGATTGATGAAGAAATGACCTTCAAATTTGTTGGGTACCTCTTTAAACCAACACAATGCTGCTTTTGTGACTTCATAATAACATTTAAAGAAATGGTACAAATATCACGGAAAGAAACGTGGACTTCCACTGTTTAATCCTTGGATATAATAGCCGTATTCCTGAAGGAATAACAATTCCTCTATTTAAACAATTAGAAGTAATTATAAACACCATGGTGATTTCCAGATATGACATCAGCAGGGATAAAGGTACTCTGGTTTAAAATTGATTCACCAACCCCAGAACAAAAGGAAACGACAGAGGAGGTAGCAGCTGAAACAAGAGAAACACGAGTCAACAGAGACTGAGAGCCACTTAGAAGGGAAGAAGTCATTACTTTAAAAGCAACATAAAAAGCCTGAATACAGTTTGCAAATATACCCACTGAAAATGACCCTGATTTTTGGAGATATGAGAAGAATAACAAAAACCTCTAAATTCTGAGAGGATTTAGACAGTTTAGAAGAGAACTTCTTTTTTTTTTTATTTAGCACAAAGAAATAATGGTATTAATCCTAACTGACCAAAAACAGAGAGTTTTTTCTGACTTCATGTCAGTCTGATGTGAAATGTGGTTTTGAAAATGAACTTCACAATGAGCTAAATTTCAAGAGTTTGGATAAAGAGTTTTGTTTGTTTTCCTCCATGGATTACTCTCATTGTCAAGAAGGATCTATGATGTTTAGATGAATGGATGGATAGGAAGCCGGGTAGTCAGACATGGTTTAGTTATAACAAACATCTGTGTAAGTGAGGAGAGATGAGAGGAGAGGGTGGCTGGAGATGCCTGAGTCAGCAGTCCTGTGTCCATCCACCACCTCCTCCCTCCTCTCCTCTCCTCTCCTGTCTGTCGCGCTGTGGCCTCCATTTGACTGGTAAATCACCCACTCAGCACAACAACCCAGGGAGGAAGGGAAAGAATGGCAGCTGAGCACATCTGAGCTTTGAGCAGAGGCAGACAGCAGAGTCAGGAGAGCGAGCAGGCACTGGTTTCTCTGCATGAACAGTGATGGTGAGCTTTAGGAGAGGCTAAGATGAAGATGGGAGATGGGAGCAGCCATGTGCAAACTGTCGGATAAAGTTGGACAGCACATGAGGAAAAAGTCGCCGGGTAGGACTGAGGGAGGAACTATGGGATTAATTGTTTAAAGCAGTTTGTTTATTCAAGGGATGTGACTGAAAAAGATTTTCTTTATCATGTATTTCATTTATTAATAATGCTATTCTTTCAGTTTGCATTTATAAAGTAAGAAAATAACTTGTTAATGCTAATTTACAATTTATTTGATTTAGAATTTTGCACTTTAGTTGTAAAATTTCTTTAACAAGTATTTATTTAATGTTTATTTCACCAAATAATACCGAGTATTGTATTTAAATGTGCTTATGCATTGAAGTACATTTTTTTAAACACATTTTTATTTTTTATTTTGTCCCTTTCCAATGCCATTATTTGCTTATGAGCTTATTTTTTATTTGTGTTGATTTATTTTTACAGCTTTTTTCATATTTTTATTTAAATTAGTGATCAGCAGGTTTTGTTTTTTTTCATGCCATGTAAAATAAATATAAAAAACCTCGTAAATCTGTACGGGACTTAAGCTCTCAGAGTCGACTTTTATTTCTAAGCAGAATGTTAGCCATCATTAGGTAAGTTGAGACCATTAGTTTCAATTATGTGTTTGTCTTCCAGATCACTTTATATTCATTCATTTTATTTGTTCGTTAATATTTAAATGTCGTTGTGTCCTGCTGGATTTTATTTTGAAATCTTTCCATCTTCATACTTTGCTTATCTCAGATTTTGCATAACGTTGGTTTAATTTGCAAAATGGGATCTCTGAGCTGAACCGGCAAGGCGGAGATATTAGAGGAAGATTTGCATAAGAGTTGTTTCCACCTGTCTTACTTTCACAAATATTTCCTCCCTCATTGTTTTGAGTCTCTTGTTACTATTGGTTAATCTATCTTATTTCTAAATGTTTCTCTGCAGGTTGTAAATATGCATGTCATGCTGAGTGTCGAGAGAGCGTGTCGCTTGACTGTCATCCTGCTGCGTCGCCCCTCAGTCAAGACAAGCTGAACAACAACACGCCGCTCCATGTGAGTAAAAAATGCACCTTACATGAAGTCCCGTCTGTTTACGTCAGCAGCTGTCCATGTGAACATATTTAAGGTTGTTTCTCTTCAGAGTAGCTACACTATTTCATCCAAATAAACCTTATGCATTTCATGTTCTTTTTACTGGATTCTTGAAAGCATTTTTAAATCAGACTCTTTATTAGTCACTCTGATGTTTTAATGTCTATTTATAGCAGCTCTAAAATGAAACTCTGCAGATGTGAGCTATCACATGCACAGACCTTAAAAAGTAGATGACCTTTGCTCTTCAGGCAAGGGATTTATATTTGTGTAGCACAATTCAGTACATGGACAATTCATAGTTCTTTACATGAATAAGATAATAAAATAGAAGAAAAATAAAAGCAATTTTTTAAAACAATTGAACCACAAAAAAACAAGAATAAATGAATAAAAGCAAGTAAAAAAAGGCTTAAAGATTAGATTTTAGACTTCACATTGTGCAATCACTGCTCATGAGCATAGGGATTGGATGTTCAATAGATTGGATGAATTGGGTGTGAGAATGGAGCTCTGAGGAACCCCATAAGTGATTAGTGTTTGCTTACACGTTTTAATTAAAGTCGTCACCATCTGCCTGGTTCTTAATGTGATCGGAACCAACTAATAACTAAATAAACTTTTCCAATCTATCAATACTTCTAATTTTGATCAGCTGTCTTAAATACAGCATAGTAATTCATACTTTTTAAATTTATTTTATACATTATTTCTAGCTTTACAGTGAGATTATTTCATATAAAATTAGCTGTTAAACTGCCTTTTCAGTAATGTTATCCAACAATGGACCTGTCCTTTTTTAACTCATCATCTAATTATTCAGATTACATGCTTAAATATGTTTGAATGCTGCAAATTCCAGGCAGTGGATTTAGGTTTGCCTTTTGACAAAGATGGTATGTAAACCATCTGTATTCATCAACTTATATTTAAACTACAAGCCTGCTGGGATACATGTTTTATCTCTAATTGTGTAATAATTGTGCAAAACCACAAGGTGGTGCTGTAGTGCAACATTACAGCTTTGACTTTAATTTAAGCAATACAGACATTATACATTACAGAGAGGAAAACATTATTATCATAAATCAAAAAGCAATCTAGGAGGTTTTATTCTTGAACATGATTTGTGGCCAAATTATGTTGCATTGAAGGCTGAAATATGTCAACTTTTTTGAAAACTATTGGTTCTTTTTGGTGTTTTTTGTAGACCCTTAGTTGTTCTTGAATTAATTGAGAGAAACAAAACTACAAAATGGTAATTATAAATGCATTTAAGATAAATAAGCAGAAATCTGGATATGATATCATTGCTTTGCCTTCTGATTTTCCCCCGAGTTTGACATAGATATTATAAAGTCAGAGAAAAGTCGGTTTTACACGAAGGAAATAGTAGAGCCTGACTCATCAAGATGCATGACACAACAAGAATGGTGTTTAATTCCAGGAGGACAGCTGGGCGTGCATCAGTCCTGATTTATCATTGAGTGCTTCAGGAGCCCACACCATATCCAATTGCAGCTTTGTCCTGTAGACGTGTATTTCAATCCGTTTTTCCTCATTTTGACCATTTTTTATGGGTCCGTGCTCTTATATAACCACCTGCTTTCCTTTCAGGAAACAGTTAAAGGATGTGTGACACTGGACAGAATCGCCAACTTTCAAGCAACCATTTAGATGATTATACAACTTCTCTTCCTGTGTGCTTTTGCTCTGCTGACACTACTATTCATATATCAGCTGTTGAGTCCAGATTTATGGTGTCACACTGATAACACTGCTGTCAAGCATCTTCATTTACAATGTATATACAACAAAACGTGGGATTTTTAAAAATCAATTTTTACCTGCTATTAGATGTCCAATTTCAGTTAAATCATTAATTTACCAGCATTACACTTCAGCTCAGACTTAAAGGTTCTGTTTTGTTTCATTTCCTTATTTAAACTCAATAGTTTCACAGGATTTGCATTTGAATCCACCAGTAATTTCAGCAACTTAGTTAGAAATGTCTTTTGCTAGGACAAATGGGTTTTAAAAGCAAATGTTTGAGGCTTAAATTCTGGTAGAATTGACCTTTTCCATGTCTGACTTACATTTTGATTCCCTTTTCAGAAAATCACAAAATATATATCTATTTTTTTCTTAACCTCAAACTAAAAATCTTGTTTTCTTTTGGGACATTAGGGAGATTTTGCAAGGCAGCAGAAGAAAATTGCTTATCCCATCTATATTTTATGGGAAACTTCAACAAACTCTTACATTTCACGCATTACCTTGTTATGTTAGGATTTATCGCCTTAGAAACCAAAACTTGACCTTTGTGTTTACATCCCAGCTGCCCCTTGAATACTTACAATCCGCCTGCGGTTTTGGCTCTGGTGCCGATCAACACCGACATGGTTTTATTCCTCCTGCAGAAGGAGGATCATCTCAGCACATTTCAAACCAATGCTGAACACATGAATAAACCCTAATAGTGCCGAGTAATGCTGAGTGCAGCATTGTGGGCTTTGGGGCGTCAGTCAGCGCATAGAAATATGTTTTTTGTGAAGTGGGTGTGTGTGGTTACAGAGAGCTGTGTAAGATCCATGGATGCCAATGTTTTGTAAAGCTGATCTGCTGCGTAGATGTGCTGTAGAACAGCAAACATTGTGTTTCATCATCGCTAAAATGATTGAAAAATACACTTCTTGAACTTAAAACCTCAAAAAATGTACAGGATTCCTGATGATAGTGTATCATGTCCTTATTTCTAATGATCTCTATTATTTTTTTGTCTATAAAGACTGAAAGCAATGAGCAGCTTACTAAAAAAGATTGATAGGATGCAGTTTGGGGATTTCAGATGAGTAAATCAGCTGTGCTCTCTGAGGTACGCAGACTTCTGTCATCGCTTGAGTATTTAAACATACATGTACCCGCCTCAGTTTACAATGTGATCTACTGTGTCTGTATATGAAACCCTAACCCTGTCTTGGCGCATTCACTACTATGTGGCTCTCACCAATATACCACAGCGTAAGAAAACATCCTTAAAGTCAGGTTAACAGGTTAGATCCTTCCGCTGTGACTAAATACATAGAACTGCTACTGTAGGAACCAAAAACAGCCGCTGTGACAGATAAGGTTTAAACTTTGACGTCATGAAACCTTGTTAGGGACAAATGTCTGCTTAGTATAAACCACTAACTCACAAATAGAATTAGCAGCCAATTGAATCATCCGCCTTAAATGTGCAGCACATGAAACCTGAACACAATCACAACTCAGTGCTCAAGAAGTGATGGATGCTTTGATTGCTTCTGAACTGTAATATGCTGGGAATTAATTCATATTCTGATTATAACTCTTTCTATGGTTTATCTCCCTTAAAAGTATGGGAAGCACATACATAAGGTGTATTATTTAGTTTAAGGATGCCTTAGTAAAACTAATGACTGTACAGCATTGTACATTCCTCTACTGCGGTGTGATTGGTTTAACCAGAGGGAGAGGCTGGAAATGATTGACAAGGAGCAAAACGAGTAAAAATTACTTCCTGTGATTTGGGAAAAACAAACATATGGAGGCCTAATAGGAAGCACATCAGCACATTGAGAAAGGCCCATGAGTCAAAGCGAAGAAGGATTTCAATGAGTTTATTTTTCAGACCTTTTTCTATAAGAAACTCATTAACACTACCTCACTGAAGGTGCTGTTAATTTCTCTGAGTAAGGAAGTGATTAAACAATAGTAAATTCAGGAATGAACAGAAAATTGTACTTTTATTGTAGCTAAACAGCTGCTGTTTAAAAATCAAAACAATGGTTTGTAAGGTCATCACTGCGATAACTTCTGATAAAATAAGCTGGTTGCTGTCGGGTTGCCTTTAATGTCTCGTTAGACCTCACCTAAACTTTATTGCCCGTAATCCTGAGTTCTTTTCATGTGGGAAATAAGCTAATGGTGGGAAAGTAATGTTTATGACTTAATTGCTCGCAGCTTTGACAACGGAGCATTTGGTTGGTTTTGTGTTGAAAATTCTTCCTAGACAACAACACTTTCTTGAAAGTTGAGGTTTCATTTCTCATCAGACTGCTGGATTAAAATAACAGGGATTGCATGAATGTTGATTGAGTAACTTTTACAAACAAGAAAGCTGAAAACAGCCTAAAGATACAACAAAGAAGCTATATTTGTTAAACATTGACAAACTGTATAACTTGATTTGCAAATTATCTCACGATTCAATGCATTTCTTCTATTATGTGACAGTATTTTTTTTTTTTTTGTAAAACTCACTATTATGGTCTTGGCTTAAACAGCTTCTGTTTTCTGCTACGTTCACGCCTAACGTGATTTCAGCAGCAAAAAACCGCCTGCTGCTTCATTTTTGATGCTTGTCCACATTAAGGTCAGACGCGCCTAAAGCGTGTCCAGATGCGTCTGATGCTTCTGCTGCTCCTGCATTTAGTGGCAGAGAGCGGCTTTGCTATATGTGCTGTTATACGTGGGTTGAAAGTAGTTTTAATATATTTTCAAGTGAGAAAGTCCTCCTCAAAACATAATTTGGGAAGTCAGTTCATCAACATTACAATCTTGCTTTCAAATATACACCGGCGGTGCTCTTACACTTGAAATCCCCAGCAACAGCAGCCTCTGACCCGGTCTCCTTTTGGGGGTTTTCTGCTACTGTTCATGGCAGCAGAAAGGAAATGTTAGCCATTTTCATGTACTTAATCCAAACTGCAGGTATCAGAATAATAAAAGCAAACATATTTTGCTGGCAGGTTTTTACATTTTAAGTTAAGTTATGCATTCATAAACTGTTTCAGGGGATTGGTCTTAGCAATCTGCATCAGCAGCGTTGCTCCAGTCTCCCTGGGTGATCCCAGATCAGCTTTTCTGAATGGTTGATGTGACGCGTCCAGCAGCAAAATCCATTTTTCCGACTCTAGCAGCTGCTGTTTGTGCAGCAA